TGTGATAGAATATAAAAATAAAATTGATTTAATTATCAATATTATATACTAACAATAATTTCTCTATAAATTCCTCTGAAATTCCTAAATTTCAAGTAGGCAATTATAGTAGCTGAAAATAATTTAATTTTTCCTATGTATTTCAAAGGTTATTCTAATTGATTTATTTAAAAAAAAAAAAAAGGCTGATAGAAAAATGTTGAACTAAAGTGGTAATATCAGGCACCTGAGTTTCCTTTCAAATTTAAAGAATTTCTCTAGGGAGTGATGTTTGGTGTGAATTTTTGTGGGTATCTTTGTCAGGCTAAGAAAATTCTCTTCCATAATTTGTTTTCTAAGAATTTTTTATTTTAATATTGAATTAGTATTACATTTTTTTCAGTTATATTTTATATCTTGAGATGACTATATTATTCTTGTCTTTGAAGTTTTTATTAGAGTGAAAAACATTGAATTTCTAATTCTAAACCAACATTCCTAGAATAAATGTAATTTCATAATGATGCATTAGCTTCCAATGAATTCTGTTCTCTAATATTTATTTTTGTTTTATGTTTCTGTGTGAAATGTATTATATATGTTCTTATTTTTTCTCATTTGGTTTTGTATTAAAAGATTAGGTACATGCAAGTTTACAATTTTATATTTTTATATTGAATAGAAATTTTTATCAAGGTATACTGTTTTTCACTAGTAATACCTTGTATTACATTTACTAGTAAGTAGCAGGCAATTTATACAAAAGTCTTTTGGTGTGGTTTTAACATATAATAGATATGAAATTCCAAAGTAAAGGGCATACCAAAACTAAGTTTTTCAATGACATATCTGAGAACTGGTTTCACATATTTAAAAATCATTTGCTCATAAGGAAGATCAAGCATATCAAAAGTGATAAGTAGGTAGGATTTAATTAAGATAATTCTGACTAAGAGGCAACCCTTCTTAGGCAGAAAAACAATGTTAGAAATAATTCTCTCCATGTATATCTTCAGTTCTGTTCTTCAGTCAAAATAATTATGAGTAATTAGATCTCTTTTGTATCTCTTCCATGCCTATACATGTCTCTCCAGCCTTTCACTATTTTCCTATGGCTACTGCTATAAATTACCACAAACCTGATTTAAAACCGAGGTATAGGTGGGGCTGTGCTCCCTCTGGAAGTTCTAAAAGACAATTTGTTTTCTCATTTTTCCAGTCCCTTCTTCCATCTTCACAGTCATCAACATATCTTTAAATCTACCTCTCCTTTGTCATTACACTATCTTCTCCTTTTATGTCTTTGTAGTAAAATCTCCTGCTATCTTCTTTTTATAAGGACACTTGTGACAATCACAAGGATAACCTCCCCACTACAAGATGCTTAATCACATCTGCAAAGTCACCTTTGCCACATGGGTAACATGCGTAGGCTTCAAGGATTAGAATCTGGATCACTTTGGGGCCATTATTCAATACTACAAATCCTCTTTAATTACTTATTCATTTCCCATTCATTTTGGTAGCTTCTCCAACTCTTACTGTATTTTCTTTTTTTTTTTTAATATTTTTATTGTTTAAAGTATTACATGTAGTAGTACATATGTCTCCTTTTTCCCCCCATTGACCTTCCCCCAGCCTCCTCTACCCCCTGACACATGCCCTCATTCCACCTCCCCACCAGTGCCCTGTGTCCATTTGTTGTGCTTATATGCATGCATACAAGTCCTTTGGTTGATCTCTTTACCCCCTCCCCAAAACTCCCCAGCCTTCCCTCTGTAATTTGACAGTCTATCCAGTGCCTTACTGCCTCTGTATTTATCTTTTTGTTTATCAGGTTATAATGTACTTTATTTTTTCATAAATGAGTGAGGCCATGTGGTATTTTTCTTTTCTTGTGTGGCTTATTTCACTTAACATAGCCATTTGAGTAGGCTACCTTCAGATGACTGTAGCTCTGACTGATAATTTAACTGCAACTTCTTGATAGATCTCAAGAGACCTAAATTGTTCCTGTATTCCTGACTTAGCAACTCTAAGGACAATGTTTTTTAAGTCACTCAGTTTTGGAATAATTTGTTATGGAGCAATAAAATACTAATACATACATGTAACATACTGTAAGTTAGGAAATATAACAATAAAATGAAGAGCCAGCATCTGAAATCCAGACCATTGCCAATACCATTGCACCAGAGTTGTTGACAATACTGTCTCTCCCTTTGCTTCATCTACTTACTGTTTCCTTAAAACATTTGTATGATCCCTCTTTCAGCTCATGTGATTCTTCTCTGTGCTAACCTGAACCCAGGAAAGTTTCTTTAATTAGCCCAACAGTCCCACTCCTCGTTTAAAGGGAATTATTGGTATATTTACTTGCATTTTCATGGCACCAATTTTGGAAAATGGTACTCTGTTTATTTTCTCTTCTTTTCTTTTTTATTTCCCTGCTCTTAAAAAGCCAAAATGTCAGAGATGTGATATAAGAGATATACTTTAAGGACTACATTAGTTTCTAATTTTTTATAAGATTCCTAAAATTTTATCCATATATTAGTCAAAGCTTTATTAAACATAGCATTACTGAATCACTACATTCTCTTGTTTCATTTTACCCCACCCATTCACCAGTTAATAACCACTTCTGCATATACCTGTGCTTTCTCATTATTTCACTGACTTTCATTGAAGGCCACTATAAAAAAAAAAAATTAGAGAAACACCATTGAATTTGCTTTAAACTTGATCTCAATTTCACTTCCTATTATGATATTTTTAATAATAAATTTATCTTAGGATTTAAGGCCAAGGAGGGAAAATGGTTTTATGATGAACTAATATATAATTTCTTACTAGTAAATGAGAATTACATAGTTCAGAGTTTATAACAATGGAATTCATTTGCATATACTTAGTGTTAGCATTTCATTAATACCAAGTAGAAAGGAAGATTTAATGGTCAGTGTAATAAAAGATGGGGGGGAAATGATGGAAGAATTGTCTTACAGGAGAGAAATTAGTAAAAGATTCCTCTGTTTAACCTAACACCAGAAAAACAAACAACCCGATTAAAAAGTGGGCCAAAGACCTGAATTGACACTTCTGCAAGGAAGACATACAAATAGCTAATAGATATATGAAAAGTTTCTCCACATCACTAATCATCAGAGAAATGCAAATCAAAACAACAATGAGATAGCACCTCATATCTGCAAGAATGACTATCATCAATAAATCAACAAACAACAAGTGTTGGTGATGAGGTAGAGAAAAGGGAATTCTTGTGCACTGTTGGTGGGGTTGCAGATTTGTACAGTCCACTGTGGAACACAGGAGCTACCTAAAAAAATTAAAATTTCTTATAACCCAGTGATTCCACCTCTCAGATGTATGCAAAAAAATAAATAAATAAAAACACTAATTTGAAAGAATATATAAACACCTATGTCCATTATTTGCAATAGCCAAGGTTTGGAAGCAACTCAAGTGCCCATCAGTAGATGAGTGGATAAAAAAAGCTGTGGGTATGAACCAGGAGGTCACAATTCAAATCCAGGTCAGGGTACATGAGCAGGCTGTGAGCTCAATCCCCAGTAGGAGGACATGCAGGAGGAAGCTAATCAATGATTCTCTCATCATTGATGTTTCTATCTCTCTCCCTTTCCCTTCCTCTCGCTGAAATCAATAAAAAATATTTTTAAAAAACAGTTGAAATCATGGGTAGGAAAACTCTCCCTTGAAGCTTATTTATGAATGGCCCATGAGATAAGAATAGGTTACAAAAAAGAAGAAAGAGAACAAGTAGCAAAAGAAGCAGGAGAAGGAAGAGAAAGAGAGAGAGAGAGAGAGAGAGAGAGAGAGAGAGAGAGAGAGAGAGAGAGAGAGAGAAGTGAGAAGGATGAGGAAGAGGAGATGTGACAGATTATGAGGCCTCTATGCCTAAAATATTTACTGTTGGCCCTTAAATGAAAATGTTTGCCAATTTCTAGACTATATCCTAAAGTCTTTATGATTGAAGATCTCTTTTTATTTTATGGCACTGGGAATTCAGCATAATTAGCTGTACAGAAATAATAAATAAAAACCTGGACTTGGAAATAACTATGTTTATTAACAATAAAAAACAAAAGAAGATTGAAGGTATAAAAATCTGTGATTATTTTTAGATATTAGAAAAAATAATTCTTAGTTACCTAGAGTCAAAATTAAATTCATTTGAATTGTTGCTTAAATTATTGTAGAGCTTCCAGTTTTGCAACCAAAGAGGCTGATTGTATCATACAGTATTTAAATATTATGGTACTGAAAGTTAAAGATGCTTGATCAAAATGCCTGAACAGCAATATTATTAGTTATTTATTGAGCTATTTTAGAGCTTTGGAGGAAATACAATTTATATCTTAAGCAGTCAATTAAAACCCCAGCATGAAAGTCAAACTTCCAATGACCTCTAAATCCAACAGAAATTTAACTTTCTTGCCAAACCCAATTTATTTTCACATATCCAGGCATATAGAAATAAGCTTATAATTTATTCAAATATGAAAGAATCAAACTGTGGGCAAGAAATTTAATAAAAATTAGAAAGTTAACCCACTATATTACCGACCTTTGGTGTATGAGTCCTGATATTCATTGTGTAGACAGATATATGAGCCCCTTTTTTGGAAAATAGCAACACAAAAGTCTGAGCCTCCTATAGCCCTGCTTGTCCCAAATGATCCTGTCAGCCTGGCCACCCAAAGTTAAACAAACCAATTTTTCTCCTAAAATTAGGTTCCACAGTCATTAGCATTTGTGAAGCTGAGACAAGGTCACTTGACTATTATAGGGAAGCAGAAAGAAACATATTTTAACAAGGAAAAATTCAGAAGATTCAGAGCAAGGCCAGGACAGACCAGGCCATTTACATTCAAAGTGATTATTGATAGATACACATTTATTGCCATTTTATTCTTTTTACCTATGTTCTCTGTTTTTTCTTCTTCTGCTTCTCCTTCTTGTTCAAGCAGGTCCTTTAACATTTTTTGTAATACTAGTTGGTGGTAATGAACTCCTTTAGCTTTTTCTTGTTGGGGAAGCTCTATTTCTTCCTCTATGTTAAGTGATATCTTTGATGGGTAAAGTAGTCTTGATTACAGGACCTTGCTTTTCATCACTTTGAATATTTCATGTCAATCCCTTCTGGTCTGAAACGTTTGTTGAGACATCAGCTGACAGTCCCATGGGAGCTCCATTGTAGGTAACTTTTTCTTTTATGGCTTTTAAGATTATCTCTGACTTTAACCTTTGTCATTTTAGTTACAGTGTGTCTTGGTGTGGGCCTCTTTGGCTGTAATTCCAACAGCGCATAAGTTCTGTAGGGGGTCAACAGGGAGCCCAGAGGGTGGGGCTCTTGCTTTCTCCCAGGCTGATGCCACATGGAGGAGAGTGCTCCACCCAAGAAAGATGGCATCTGTAGTATGACAGAGTGACTTAGCGCAGGGATCCTGGCAGCTGACCCTTTAGGTCTTTCCCCAGAGTCACAAACTACAGATTTCTCAGGAAACTCTAGTACACTCTACCCTCCCTCTGCTGGAGTCCAGGATGAGTGTCTGTGAGCAAAATGCTGTGTTGGCCCTTGAGGGTGCCTGTGTCTCTACTGGACTATGTCTCTCCCTGGTGGACAGAAACCCTGCTACTTTTCACAGCCAAAAGTTATGCGGGCACCTCTTCCTGGCTCTGGTGATCTGGACTAGGGAGCTCAGCTACTTTGAGACCCGCTGCTTCTCAGAGGAAACCCCCACAGTTGAGATAGCCCTCTAGAACCTCAGCTGCCAGCCTGTGGGAGTGGAGCCAGCTCTTTTTTGCATCTCTGCCCTTCCTATTTGTCTCAATGTGGCTTTTTCTGTGAATTCTTGGTTATAAGACTTCTTTCTCTTCAGCTAGTCTTCTGTTTGTTATTCTGGGTGATTATTCTATAATTTAATTGTAATTTCAATTTGATCCAGGGAGGATGTGAATGTATCTTCCACATACTCTGCCACCATCTTGGATCTCCCCTCCTGATAGCTTTTCTGTTCTGTTTCCTATCCCTCATGAGGCCCAAATGACCATCCTATTCCCAACTTATGTGAAATATGATCAATCCATATATAGTACATATAAATTTGTTCTGCAACACTACTCCCTAGAGTTTCTGATTTGTAGACCTGATAATTTGTATTTATAAAATGTTTACAGGTGATTCTGATATGTGAAAAGGGGACCACACTTTAAGAATTACTATCCTAGGATCATATATACACTGGGTTGGAGTCATGGAATGGGGCGATTATATAGTTCAACAAATTAGAGAGTCTTCAATTCTAGATGTGATATGAATTATCCCTGTGATATCAATTATCCAATCATCCAAGCACCCCTTTGTATGGTGGTGTTTCTATCCACTCTGTGATAACTTAGGACTACAGAACTATTAATGTGTCTCAACCAATGACTTCTAGTGCCACAATCAACTCAGTATTACAGAAAAACTTCCAAGAATTATAGGTATGATGAGAACAAGATGCTCTCATCATACAACCTTCCACCATCAGTAACATCCACACTCAAAGGCTCTAACATTGTCTCTTCTGGGATGGACCACTTCCTTGGAATCCTTCCCAGCCCCAAATAATCAATTTCCATTACCCTAATGGGCCTAGATTTAAAAAAAAAAAAAAAGTCAACTTGATATCCTGTGAAGTCAGGAGGCTAAGTCACTGAAGGAGAAGGAGAAGTTAAAATCTCTGAATGCAGATAGTTAATTTTTGGCAAGTACTGAAGTAGATAGCAAATAAATCCGTGCTAAGCACAAGCTTCATAAAGTACAGGGTATATGTCCCAGTCTTGAAGAAAAAAATACCAACAAGTTCTTAAGGTCAGAATTTCAGAGTATCAAAATCAATTCCTGAAGATATTATTCATCCAACAAATATTCATTGGGCATTCATATCTCAGTGGTGAATCTGGCTTTATGATATCTTACTCTCATACAATTTGGGAGAAAAAGGGTCTTCTTTTACCAGAATCACCTAGGAAAATATTTATTTAGAATAAGAAAATAAATCACCACAAATTACAAATTTTATAAAATACCTAAAATATAAAGTCTAAAGATGGAATATTTCTATTAATTAGCTTCCATTACTAAATTTACTTTCAATTTTACAATTAGTTACTGGTAGAACCTTGCAAAAATTTAGGGCTGTTGTCATATTTGTGAAAACTTCAGTCTGGAAAAGAGTATTTTTGATTAAGTCTTTGTAGAATCCATTTTTCTACTTTCATTTTACTAAAATTAGCTTCTGCTTCTGAACATTTCCAACTTTGTTCTCTTTCTACATATTTTTTGTACTGAGGCTATAGAATGAATTCATAGCATAAACTACCTATGATGCACTTTTATGTCTTGACCCAGATAATGTCAACAGAGCAAATTACAGTAACATTCTTAGAAAAGATTTTTGCAATAACATGACTAGCAGTAATTTAATTGTGTAGAGGAGTGCATCCAACCACATAAATAAATTTCATTGCATCAAATATATTGCCAAATCATTTCCTCTAAGCCAGATCCCAAAACTGACCACAACTACATGAATGACAACTTAATACAAGGGAAAGTAAGAAAGTAAGAGGTAAAGAAAGATGCAGTAGAAATACTGATTATAGATTGAAAAAAAAATTGCTTTTAAAAATATTTCCAAAATTTACAAATATATATGAACATTGTTAGGGCCTCTCCCAAGAATTTGGAGCGAGCCCATGCAAAGTTAGAGATCCTGAAACTATGTTTTCCTTAATTCATGCTAAATCTACCTCTGCATCATCTCATAAGAAAGACCAAGAATTATGATTATTTTAGAAAAAATGGTGATGTATAAAATGTAAATGCTCTAGAATCAAGGAAGCTGGGAACAACTTACAAGTTCCTACTTAAACCCTAATGGCCACAGGCCATGTACTTCACTTTAGTTTCCTTATTTCCAATATGAGAGACATGACAATAAATGTCTCCCAAAAGACATAGTTTTAAGTGAGTGCAGTTTTTACACTATAGAATATTTTATAAATGATTATAATTATTTTTCTCAATCATATCAGTGCTACTGTTAGCAATATTGTTAGTATGAATAATAAACTTAAGGTTATAAAATTGCTTTTGCCCTTCTGTATTTCTAGCATCCAGTTTCTATGATGTTTGCTCCTCTGTGGCTAGCCTAGATGAAATGAAAGCATAGCCAGATTACAGCCTTGCTATGCATGGACACACAGCACACAATTATTCTTTTCCAGGGAGAAAAAGGTTTCCCTGGTAACTTGCCTTACTAAGCCCACTTCTTATAGGTACCTGAAATAGACAAGCAAACTGGTTGAGAATACAAGTTATTTTTTTTTTTTAGCAATTTCTATAAATTCCTAGCCATTTTTTTTTAACAGACTTCTTCAAAAGATTTTATGTTTTTCTCTTTTTAAATATTATTTAAATGCACTGGAACAGAACCTTATGATTCTTATTTATATATATATATATATATATTTTATTGATTTTTTACAGCGAGGAAGAGAGAGGGATAGAAAGTTAGAAACATCGATGAGAGAGAATCATCGATCAGCCACCTCTTCTTGCACACCCCCTACTGGAGATGTGCCCACAGCCAAGGTACATGCCCTTGACCCCGGAATTGAACCTGGGACCTCTCAGTCCGCAGGCCTATGCTCTATCCACTGAGCCAAACCAGTTTTGGCTTATTTGTGTTTTTAATAAAGAAATGTAGGAATTTGCTCTTACCAAGTGATCAAACTAATAGATTTCAAGATGACTCATGGCTTATCTCTAAGGAAAATGTACTTGGGAACCCAGTAATATTCTCAAAATTTCTAAGGAATAATACATGTCATTCAGTAATTTTAATCAAATGTACCTAGCACACTAAATTTGGATTTAAATTTTCTCTTAAATTCTTTGCTTAGAATGCAAATTTTCAGAAAAGAAAATTTTAAATCTAGGAAAATAATCAGCCATTTTTAACTAAGTATAGAACCCTTACAAAAGCACTTAAGTGCAAAAGGGACTATTTTACTGTGATTTTTTAAAAATGAACAAAAAATAAAAATATTTCTTGGACTGTACCTTTTCATAATCCTGAGTAAACCTGAGATCATTTCATGTCATTTTCTTATAGCAGAACTCTCTGCACAAACACAATAAAGATTTAAATTTTTAGTTCTCATAAAGTAATTACTTAACTAATTTGTAGAAAGTGAAACCAAAACATATGAAAATCTAAACAATGAATACAATGGTATCAAAGGGACCAATTTAAGAACATTAAGTGTTATAAAGTATTAAGGTGATGATAGCAATCTCTGTGTACCTATTTCCAGGATTGTGTCTTCTCTGTCTATTGTGTGTTATAAAGCTTAGGGTTGGTTTTTCCATGTATTTTAATTTTATAATAATACTAGAGGACCAGTGCACGAAATTTGTGCACAGGAGGGGGGGAGGGGGGAAGAGGGGGGAATGTCCCTCAACCCAGCCTGCACCCTCTTCAATCTGGGACCCCTCAAGGAATGTCTGACTGCCCTACTGGGATCAGGCCTAAACAGGCAGTCAGACATCCCTCTCACAATCCAGGACTGCTGACTCCCAACTGCTCACCAGTCTGCCTTCCTGATTGCCCCTAACCGCTTCTGCCTGCCAGCCTGATCACCCCCTAACCACTCCCCTGGCAGCCTTTTTGATGCCTAACTGCTCCTCTGCCAGCCTGATTGCCACTAATGGCCCTCCTTTGCCAGACTGGTCCCCCCACAACTGCCCTTCCCTGCAGGCTCAGTTGCCCCCAATTTCCCTCCTCTGCTGACCTGGTCATCCCCAACTGCCCTCCTCTGAAGGCTTGATCACCCCCAACTTCCCCCCCTTGCAGGCCTGGTCCCTCCCAATTGCCTTTCCCTGCTGGCCATCTTGTGTCCACATGGGGGCAGCCATCTTGTGTGTTGGAGTAATGGTCAATTTGCATATTGCTCTTTTATTAGATAGGATAGAAGCCTGATGCACGGTGGGGGCCAGCTGGTTTGCCCTGGAAGGTGTCCCAGATCAGGGTAGTGGTTCCCTTGTGGCATAGGGCAGCCTGGGAGAGGGGCTTGTGGTGATTTGCAGGCCAGCCATGTCCCAGGTGATCCAAGTGGAGGTCCTGGTATCTGGGAGTTATTTATCTTCTATAATTGAAACTTTGTAGCCTTGAGCGGAGGCCAGGTCAAGTCAGTGCTGGCAGAAAACTGTGTTCCTCCATCACTGGGGACAACCCAAGCCTCCTGCTCTCTCTAGCTATGTGGCCGACAATATATTTGTTGGGTTAATTTGCATACTCACTCCTTATTGGCTAGTGGGCATGGCTTATGGGGGTAGCAGAGGTTTGGTCAATTTGCATGTTTCTTTTTTATTAGATAGGATATTCAACACTGGGATATAAAATGAGAACAAAGACTAATGGCCCCATTTCGGTGGTATTGGCAATTTTTAGTGAAGTGTAACAGTTTCATATGAGATTTTTGTCCTGTTTTCTAGAAATTACTGCAGAGGCTCAAAATTATACACAATACATGCAAAGTTTTGCATTCTAAACTCAGATTTACCAGTAGTTCTGGCAAGACACTTTTATTTTCAAGGTCTAATGAGAGGCAAGAATCCAAGAATCCTCTCCACCATACCCACTGCCCATCATCTCTGACAATTAAAATATATACAAGACTAGAAGTAAGAGAGTAAATTGCCTTTTCAGATACATGGTATCAAGGAGAAAGACTATTTTCTTTCTTTCCCAACACAAGTCTACAGGAATGCTTCTCTTTCCACAATCAACTATTGATAGAAATGGGGAGCTTCATGAAAATCACTTATACAGTAGTGGAATTTCTACAGGAAAAGGAGAAAAGCATTTTGTTCCCTAGTTATACACTTGTGTAACCAGCAGAGTCACTAACCTGCTCTCATGGGTCACCATGAGCTGGAAGAGAGAAGGAAGTGGAGCTAAGAGAGGAAAGCAGTGAAACCACACCCACACTGTGAGGGCTGGAGCAGTGAACACCTCCGTAGTAGCTGGATTTAAGCTATCTCGCAGGAGCTTCTTGCAAAAGGAACCACAGCAGCATCTAGCAGAAGGAAAAATCTGCTCTAACTGCTGAAGATAGATCATCCTAGCTGTGCTTTGAAGAGAAAGGAGAGCTTTGAATAGAGTTTGAGACAGCAGTCTCAAAATATATGAGGGTGGATGTTAAATGATGAAATAGTACTCTTCTAACAACTGAAAGTGCCTAGAATATTAAGCAGACTGTTCACAATTCCATTAGGCAATGTGAATGGCTTGCTCTCCCCAGTATTTGGCCCAAGTCATGAGCAAGGCTATCAGCAACAGAAATGGAGTTAAGTAGATGTGTTGAAAGCTGGATGTGAGGTTTAATTTAAGCAGGCTGAATCCAAGAAATGATATCTTAACTGAAGATACAAATTTGGAAGCCCTCAGTACTTTAAAATGATAGCACCGCCCAGCTGGTATGGCTCAGTGGTCAAGCATCGACCTATGAACCAGAAGATCCCAATTCAATTCCCAGTCAGGGTATATGCCTAGGGATGTGAGCTTGACCCCCAGTGCAGGAACCAGCTGATCAATGACTCTCTCATCATTGATGTTTCTATCACTCTCTCTCCCTCTCCCTTCTCCTCTGAAATCAATAACAACATATATAAAAATAAATAAAATGATAGAACTACACATAGTATTAACAAAAATATAATATCAATAATAATATTAGCAATAAAAATTAAGAACATTTATTGAACTCTTAACTATTTTCCAGACACAATACTAAGGTTTTTATATGGGTTATATAATTTGATAATTAGGACATCTTAATGAAAAAGGATACCACTTTTTTGTCCATTTTATATAGAAGGATAAAAGAGAATTTAACAAATTTGTCCCAGTTTCCCAGCTACTAAACAATAAAATAGGTATCCAAACTAAAATAGTTCTGACTCCAGTGATCACTTGCTTAACTGAATTCATTAAATTGCCCTCTAAACATTTCAACAGTATAAAAGTCGATGTTATCCTTTAGAGATACATAATGAAGGAGAATTCTGAAAAACACTTAAATCAGACAAACCAGAAAAATATATTTAAAAAATAAGTGATTAATTTAGATATTTTGTAAGATGAAGACAGTGAGATGATTACAGAAATACAAGGGTTTCTTTCTGTGTGTGTGTGTGTGTGTGTGTGTGTGTGTGTGTTTATACCACAACCAGTCTTGAAAGCCAATTTAGGATGGAAAACATGCATTTATAATAGCATACTTTGCTATTATAAGATATATCTTCACAAGTAAAAATGCTTATTTCCTTTAAGAAATAATACTTCATCTCTCAGTTCGTCTCTATTCATTAATAGCAGCAAAAAAATAAAATACCTAATTAATAACTTTGTAAACACATACCCCTTTATGGAAAAGATGTGACAACTGAAGGGCATATATAGTTTTTCAAAAATAAAAGTTTACTGTACAGATCACATTCTTTTAGCCTGGTTAGTTTCATGGGTTACAGCATAATCTATATTTACAGTACCATGCAGGCAACTGAACAAAGACTGTAGTCCAAAACTATTGCATTCAATATCCCTTTTATTTTAAATTGTCATACCCAACTTAACTGACACTGCTCAGGAATGAGGTATGCAACATAAATCAATTTTCAGGTAGCTGAAGCTTACCCAGTGTTATATCAAACTGATTCTATTTTACTGAATTTAATAGGAACCTAAAATATATTACATATTTCCAGTCCTTCTTACAGATTGTATAAAATGTATTCATTTCTTTATGATCTAGAATTATCATTATAAATATCAGTATTTGTACTATGCTATAACCTGTCAATGCCCGGAGGATATTCAGGTAGTTTTCCTTTGGACTAAGACCACTTCAGAGCTGATATAATATTTTGAATAAAACAAAGCACAACAAATAACACCATGTGCCTTGTATCCGGCCATTTATAGATTAAAACCTTGGCTGTCCCATTTAAGAGTTGGGTTCGTTAGGCAAGCTTTTAACCACTTATGAGCCTTTCTTTTCCTATTAGCAAAATGGAGGTAAAATACGAGCTAACATTGAGTATGTAAGAAGTGCTGGCCGCAGTGCTATTGTTTTTGACTCCAGAATGAGATGTAGTATATCTTGTACAGCTATTAAATGCACGGATTCTGGAGCAAAACCATTTCTAGCTCTGCTTTAGATAGTAGGCAAGCTACTTAACCCCTCCATGCCTTAGTTTCCTTATAAGTAAAAATAAGGTCATAAAAATAGTTTTTATAGTGTTACTGTAGAAGTTAATATATTCAGAATACTTAGAGTATCTGGATCCTAGGAAACACTGAATACTAGTAAGTGATGGTGATGAGAACTCATTTAATCCTCGTAGAAATCCTGAGAGGTACTTAATATGATGATTCCTAATTTTGAAAATGATGAATCTAAGGCCGAGAGATCTGCACAGCTCTGTAAAGCAGTCCTGCCACTAAGGCTGCCTCCTCTCTCATGCAACAGTTTTTGAAGGTTACATGAAAGTTTAGAGACAACCTTTCACTAAATGGTAATGGTTTGTCACCTCTCTATGCTTCAGTTTATTTAGCCCTTTTTGGTTGCATTTAATATGGTACACCATGAGCCTAATGAGGAATGAAATACCTTGTCAATTCAATAATTAATGCTAAGCCACTTTCTGGTCTAAATAATATGTGTTTACCTCTTACTGGGAAAGGTTCATGACTTGTTGACAGATACTTTAACATTGGGTGTGGCAGGCAGTTTCTAACATGATCCCCAATGATCCATCACCACCTCCTGATATTTAGGCAGTTGTATAATCTATTTCCCTTGAGAAGGGCTAATTAGTGACTTGCTTCTAACAAATAGGACAGGGCAAATGTGATGGCTACCACTTCTGATATTACATTATAATTTAATGACTCCTATCTTGCTTGCACCCCCCTCTCACCCTCTCACATGCTCAATTTAACAAAGCCAGTGGACATACTGTGGGCTGCCCTATGGGGAGGTACACCCGGTGAGAAACTGAAGGTGGCCTCCAGGCAAATAGCAACAGAGAACTGAGGCCTTCAATGCAATAACTCACAAGGAACTGAATCCTGCCAACAACCACAGCAGGGTGCCTAGAAGCTGATTGACCAGGACAAATCTGGTCATAATTAGAGCTCAACCTTGATTGGTCCTGAGTCAGAGAACCCACGAGGCCAGCCCCAGGCTACTGACCCACAGAAACTTCCACATAACAAGTGTTGTGTTAAGCCATTAAGTTCTGGGATAATTTGTTACACAGCAATAGAAAGGTGATATACTGGGGCTTTTCCCATTGTGTCTCAAATCTCTGCTTATGTTTCACGTGTTGGACCAAGACACACTACTAAAAATAAACAATCTCTGACTCAACTTTTGCCACATAATACTCTCATTACCCAGGTCCTTTTTTGCCTATCATACTAGACTATGAGCACCTTGAGAAATAAAACTGTATCTTTTGCCCTTACATTTCCAAAAGCAGAGGCTTCGTTATTTAATAACTAGAGGCCCACTGCACAAAGATTCGTGCAATAGGCCTTCCTTCCCCTGGATGCTGGCACTGGTTTTCCTCTGGCACCCGGGACCCAGGCCTTCACTCCAGCCACAGTGGAGAAGCCTACCCTCAAGGCTAGGCTTCACTGCTCTGGCCACAGCGGAGAAGCCAAGCCTCTTCAGTCTTCAGTCTTTGCTTGGGCCGGAGCCTTCAGTCTTTGCTCCAAGCCTATGTATGCAAATTAACCCACCATATTTGTTTTGTTAATTTGCATACTCACTTCTGATTGGCTGGTGGGTGTGGCAGAGGTATGGTCAATTTGCATAGTCCTCTTTTATTAGTGTAGATTAAAACATATGGACAAGGTTAAAAGCCAAATATGAAGTGCAAGTTCAGAAGAAGCAATGATGTTAGAGGGAAGAGGAGGCTATGATTAAAGAGAGATTTCAAAATTTTAAATCCTACCAAAAAATTTTGGGGGATGATGATAATGTGTGAAATGGTAGTAGTACTCTGCTGGGCACACAATCCATTAATTAGCCCATGAGTAGTATCTTATCAAAGGCAATAGCCACATAATAAAGACTTAGTGGTGAGCCAAGCTCCCTTGATTTTGAGAAACTAATCTAGAGTTTACAAATGTATAAAAAGGTTTTTAAGGTAAATATCAAAGTCAAGTTTATTATCCCATTAGCTCAAACAAAACTAAATGTCTGCTCCCATGTAATTTGTTAATCTCTTCAATAATTTGTTATACATCTAGAATATTCCACCATATCATCTCTCACCACCAGCAACAATTGGTCAACTTTTCAGAATATTATTTTCCAGGATGTACAATAGCATTATTTCCAGTAAATTGGAGTTTGTTTATGGCAAAATAAAACCTCCCAGTTTCAGGAAAATCCCTACAAAAGACAAAATTTCAAAATGAAGAAATGAAAGGAATGTCTCCATCTGGCCTTAAGAAGACTGGGTTTCTCCATCCAACTTTACCTAATACCTGACTGGAGCTGGGCCATGGTACAAGCTTCCAACACACAAGTCCACCCTTCCTAGGATACATCATAATCATATTGTACACTTTCGAGTGCATCCCCAAACATTTCAGTGAGATCAACTTTGCAGGTTAAAGAGCCCAACATCAGCCTGTTTACTTCCTCGGCTACTGTGACTGCAGCTCCTCTAGCTACTATTTTCTACTAAACTCTTCTCCCTTCTATCTAGGGAGTTAATCAGAGGGTATTCTTACTTGTTGCTTTATATTAATAAAATAAATTCTTATAGTAATAAAAAATAACATAAATTCAGCCCTATGTAGTGATTCCTGGTGATCCCCGAATTCGGATAGACAAACCTTTTTAGATTATATTAAGTAAAACTGGCCATGTTCAGAGGGACCAAATGTTAACCAAGTGTATTTCTCCCTCCAACCTTGCTTCAAACTACCCACTCAACCACAAACACACATAGACAACCTCCAGAGGTACTAATATCATTTCATTTCACATGAGAGTGCAACCTAGCTCTCTCTAAAGAGACAAACAAGATTGCCTTTTGGGCAACTATAGCAGTTTATGCTATGTTGCTTAAATCAGAACATAGCATGTTTTG